ATTTTATTCAATAAATTCACGACGTTTCGACCATTTGGTTGTGGTCCTTATCAAGTGAGAATTCTATAACACAATATTTCACAATAGTTTTTAACAATGTTGTAACATACAAGAACATATTTAAATATTAAATTATAACAACGAACATACCCATCAATAATAAATAAGTATAAAGACCCAGCAAACACCGATATATAATTGTTACATTGCTATAATAATACGGAATATAACAGGTAATATAACGTGTACGTTACATGTAACATCCATGTTAATTGTAAGTTCCCACTCATAGATGTAACATTTTAATATAACATATATTACATTGTAGTTATATTGTAATTATATACCAAATGGCACATTGATGTATTGATAAGTCAGTGCTATCTTGGGATATAATGACAATATAACTACAATATAATATATGTAATATTAAAAATGTTACATCTATGAGTGGGAAATTACAACTAACATATACGTTACATGTAACATGCTTAAGTATATGACATTTATTTACTGTGTTTGCTGGGCTCTTTCCGGTGCTGTTTATCTGCTCCGTCAACGGAATTTTCGTGGATAATTTATATCAAAGATAATCTTTTCTGTCTTTATAAATAATCATCTAATATATACTAAATATGGATTTTCTACACAACGTGAAAGTAAATTGATCTATAATACGATCTACACTCCATTCCTCTCAGCCAACACGCGATGTTATTGCGACAATTAGATTAGATTAGATATATTTATTGCCGCCCCAATTGGGGATTACAAGGCGCTTTTTTTTTAAAGGAGCGTTCCCAAACCTTTATTCCTTCCTTTACCCTTTTTCCTTAGCCTAAACTTATACCTAAAACTTAATCTAATTACATATTTTTCGCCACGCCTCTCCTCTTCGCCGCCTTTCTCATCTTTTCTCGCATTTCTGCCTTACCTACACACACACACACGTCCGGCTTTCCCTAACCTTTCTTATTCTAAATTATCTTAACCTACGCAATCTTACATTCTACTTAGCCTATGTTGGACCTCCGCTTCCGGTTACCGTTATTCTTCCACTCCTTTCCTCTCCCTCCCTCTCTCTCTCTCACACACTCACTCACACACTCACTCCCCCCTCTCTCTCCCCTTATCTCCTACCCTCTCTCATCCCCCTGTCCTCCTTTTTCCTCCTTCTCCTTCTCCCCCCCTTTCCCTCTTACTTCCTCTAACCTTTTTAACCATATTTCCCCTTTCCCCTCCTCTCCTAATATCTCCTTTACCATTTCCTGCCAGCTCTCTTCCCTTCCCCAATCCATACATTCCTCCCACACATGCTCCCACGTCTCTAACCCTCTCCCACATATCCTGCACTTCCTATCCTCCTCCTTTTCCCAATACCTATTTCCCTTCATTTCATTCCCCAGTCTGTACCTTGCCATCCTCCTCCATCTACCTTCCGCCCACCCTTTCTTCAAATAGGGCCCGGAATCCCCTCCCCTTTAATCTGTTTGTACCACTTATTATATTCCGATTTTATCATTTTTCCTACCCTCTCCTCCCTCTGTTCCTTTCCTTCCCATTCCTCAACTTCTTCCCATCTGAACTCCCCTTTTCCCTTCTTTCCTCTATCTCCCTTAATCCCATCCCCTTACCCTCAAAAAATTCCCTTCTTTCTCTCTCCCACCCTGACAATTCCCCTCCTTTTTTTTGCCCTTTCTTTAATCTCCCCCAAACATATTCTCGCCAACCATCCTCCCTTACCCTCCTCTAACCTTCTCTCATATCCCCATGCTCTTCTTCCCATCCTTGTCCTTATCTTTTCCCTTTGCAATTCCTCCCTTACCATATATCCAGGCGTTCCCCAATCCACTCCTAACATCCATCTCAGATACCTTTCTTGTATCCTTTTCAATCCCTCTCTCTCTTCCCATCCCCATATCTCCACCCCGTATCCTAAAACCGTCCATACTAACGCATCGAAGAGCCACAACCTCCTCCCCCAGTTATTCCCAAATCTCCTCTTACCTATTCCCCATACCTGTCCCATAATTGCTGCCCCTCTCTTTATTCTGTCCCTTACCTGTCCCTCTTGCCCCCCATTCCTTTGAATCACATATCCTAAATACTTGTACTCCTTTACCTCCTCTAATTTTTTTCCCTTCCAAAACCAACTAGCCTTTTTTAACCTCCCTCCTCCCCTTCTGCATCTCATCACCTTCGACTTCTTCTCATTCAGTTCCAGTCCCTTCCCCTCCAGATATCTCCCTAACCTCTCCATCATACACCTCATCCCCCCCTCATCTTCTGCCAACAGCACCACGTCATCCGCGTACGCTAATGTATAGACCTTGCCCTCTCCTAATCTCACACCCCCCCATCTCCCTTTCTCCATTTCCTCCTCCAAGTCCGCCATCAACATGTTAAACAGAAGCGGGCTCAGTGGGCATCCCTGTCTCACCCCCCTCCCTGTCCAAAACTTCTCCCCCACCTCCTCCCCTATTCTAACCCTGAACCCTATCTCTCCTAGCACTTCCTCGCACCTCCTCACCGTCTCTTCCTTCACCCCCCTCCCTCTTAACGCCGCCATCAACTTCACTCTGTCCACCGAATCAAACGCTGCTCTCAGGTCCACAAACAGTAGTACCATTTGCTTTCCTTTCCTACTTATTTGTCTGTTTATTAAATAATTTAATACATAAATATTGTCCACTGTTCCCATCCCTTTCCTGAACCCCGTTTGATTCGGTGGCAACATCCCTTTTTCCTCTATCTCTCCCCTCAATCTCTCTGCCAACACCGTCGCATATACTTTGTATAAAGACGGTGTCAGAGTTACCCCCTGTACTCCGAAACCTCCTTTCCCTCACCCCTCTTCAAGATTGGCACCACCAGCCCCTCACTCCACTCCCTTATCCACCCCTCCCCCTTCCATATCCTATTGCACAACTCCCATACCCACTTCTCTATTCCCTCTCCTCCAAATTTCCACACTTCTCCCGGAATCCCGTCCACCCCCACCGCCTTTTCTTTCCTTTATCCTACCTATCGCCCTCCTAATTTCTCCCTTTTCTATCTGATCTTCCCCTCTCTCCTTCTCCGTCCTTCTTCCTCCCATTATCACTCTCGACTCTACCCCTCCTAATAGATCTCTAAAATATCTGTTCCATTTTTCCATCTCAATCCCCTCACCCATTCCTCCTTTTCCTTTCCCTTTCCCTCCTAACCACCTCCCAAACCTGCCCTTCCGTCCTCGCTTCCATTGCTTTCTTCGTCCACTCCTCATTCTCCTCCTCCTTCTTCTTCTACATAATCTCTCATACTTCTTTTTTCTTTTCCTGTATTCTTCTCCTTTCCCCCCTATCCTCCTCCACCTTTTTAACTCCTTTACCACCTCCCCTTCTCTCTTCTACACTCCCTACCAAACCACCCTCTCTTTTTTTCTTTCTTCTCCTTTCCTTCTCTCTCATTCCCCTTATCTAACACTTCCTGTATCTTCTTTTTCTTCTCCTCCCACTCTCCCTCTACACCCTCCTCTTCTTGTTCATCCCTCTGCTTCCCCCAAATTTCCCCTATCTTCTCCCTAAATTCCTCCTTCCCCTCTTTCGTCCAGTTCCATCTCCTCCTCTTTTTTCCTTTTCTTTCCCCTCCTCCTCCTTTCCCTTCTAACCACACTATTAACGGCATGTGATCCGAGTCCATCCTTTCACCTATCTCTAACTTCCTGATTTCCTCTCTTACCTCCTCATTACCTATTATGTAATCTATTACCGATGATTGCGACAATTAAGAAAGAAAGAAAATTTGGAAACTAAGGAATTTGTATCCTGTGGTTGGGATCTCAGAAATTCCTTTTTTGTTCCTTCTCCTAACTTCCTCTGTAAAGAAATAGACGAGAAAAATATTGGTCCGAAAGTCGGCTGAATCGGGAATCGAACCCGAGACCTTCCGCTTGCCGGCGACTGCTCTTCCAACTGAGCTATTCAGACACTTACAAATCAATATTTCTCTCAATGTTTATACCCCCAAAGCGTCGTGATTCGTCTCAGATGCGACGAAACAATCGAAACAATAATAAGAATATTAAGTCGGCTTCTTAATTTTTAAAACACGATCTACACTTTATTCCTTTCAGCCAATAGAACCACACGCGATGTTATTGCGACAATTAAGAAAGAAAGAAAATTTGGTTGTAATACCTAATTTGGTTGTAAATATTCGGTTGTAAGTAAACACAGATTTGATTTTGAACATGATTTTAATTGGAAATCACAGACCATTTTGCACAATGAAAAACATGTAAGAAAGAGAGAGATTGCTGAAATGTTCTTCATAAAGAAGCATGATAATATTGTTAACCTACAGAAAGACACTGAGAATTTGACAAATATCTACGAAAAAATAATAAAGATTGTTTAGTGGTGCGTTTCAAACTCAGTCGTTGACGAAACATCATGGAGATGAGACGTGTTCCTCTTTTAACTATTAATTTTAAATAAGATCGGTTTTATGTTGCGTTAATCGCATTTTAATTGATGGGTATGTTTGTTGTTATAATTTAATATTTAAATATGTTCTTGTATGTTACAACATTGTTAAAAACTATTGTGAAATATTGTGTTATAAAATTCTCACTTGATAAGGACCACAACCAAATGGTCGAAACGTCGTAAATTTATTGAATAAAATTGCTAGTTACGTCAAAATTAATTTTACCAAATTTATTTTCACCACTAGCGTCCAATATTAATTTTAATTAATTTTATTTTATTCTATTAGATAAATTTAATAAATAAAATTCTTACAATTAAATGTGTAGATAATATAATTTAAGATTGACTTTTGGTGATCAATAAAATTATATTTGTTTTAAATATAAATTATATATATGTTTTATTATTAAAAAAATTAGTATTATTAATAAACTTATTATACATATACAATCATAAATATATTATACAGAGATATGATATACTGTATACGTACAATTACATTCTTTATGTACATAAAAATATTGCTCATATAAATATATATTACATTATAAATACATAAAGAATATGTTTTATATTATAGATAGATAGAATAGTTAATTAACTCTATCATTATAAAAATCTAACAGGTATTACGATTTATATGCTAATATTTGTACAATATCGAATAAATCGTTACATTCTGGGTCATATTTTGGGTCATTGGCATATGAAGATCGATCAAACTTTTTTTCCATTTTGTTCCATTTCTTTTTTAATATGTCCTTAAGGTCTTGCTGTTGTTTAGGTGTCAGTTCATGTATGGAAGGAAGCTCAAAGACGATATGCGCTGAAATAAATAAATTCTCATGAAAGATTTGCACATAAAAGAGTAATTATGTTAGTGACTTTTCATCACACATTACTGTTAAATAGCTTAATTTAAAAAAATTTAATTTGTTAATTAAGATCTTATCATTTATAATAAAATAAAAATACTTACGTAAAATGTAATCAGATTTATATATTATATCCTTTGTTTGACAGTACTTTATTTTAAATCCTTGGAATTCAATCAATTGTCTTAAGTAACCATCGGCATTAACGTGATAATAATGAAAATCTGAAACGTATTTCTGCATGTGACATGAAAATATAAAAATAATAATTAAAAATATGTAACAGGTGGTTAGAAAATAGTACATATTTAAAATATATTAACGGATGCATACCATAAAATATTTTCCATAAATTGGATGATTCAGCATTTTATTATACAATCCAAATGCGTCATGTGCGAGGACCATTGTCAAATGGAAGCACCCTCCACGTTTCAGTAGTTTAGATACATTTTTAATTTCTTGCCTATTAAATAAACAAAAAAGAAGTTATTTTCTAAAAGTTACGTATTTATTGAAAAATTTTTAGACTACGAAATTTATTTCAAGCTGATCCTATTTTGATAATAACGGGATAATCTAAATAATTTTTGTTTTCTAAATATGATTATTTTTCAAATATTCCGCATAAATGTCGAAAATATATTTAAAAAAGTGCTGTATCGTGGAAATAATTAACTATATAATATTTAATTTATACTTACAGAACATTATTACGTGAATTTATGGTGGAATATGAGAAAACGTGATCAAATTGACCTATATATTGCTCGGGTAGATTTTCCGCTTGAATATCCAATATATCGAAATCTATTCTTTCGCCAGTGTATTTTCTTCTCGCGTATTCTATCATAACTTCCAAACTATCGGTACCTTGAAGTAACAATTGAGAATTAAGAAATAATTCCGTTTAAATTTATTTTATATATATTTTTATATAATACTTTTTTTTAATGCTTACCTATTAATGTAGAGATTCGTGATGTAGATGCGGCAGCAAGACCATTTTAGTCGTCTGGCCGAAAGCACAATTGATCTCCATGCATTTTCCGGGAGATAATAGTTTTTCCTTAATTGGATCCCATATCATAATATTTCTATCAACGAGTATTTCTTTTAGTGTGCCTCCTGGATGGACATTCATAGTTCTTGATCGATTAAATCAATTACACCGAGTGTATTACAATATTTATATTATTATATTCTTGGAGTTTTGTTTGTCGAACGAAATTCAGGTGACGAATAAATTAGCAGATATTATATGATAGAGGAACACACTGTAATAATACACAAAATTTGCACGACAGAAGATATGACATAGACAGAACGCTGTACACCATAGAATGTGCCGGAGCCAAATTTTCATCCTGTGCATCTCATCATTTCCCCTCCCCAGCCTAGGCACAAGCCTGACGAAGGGAGGGACCAACCAATTAGGAAACAGCTATTGTGTATGTTCAGCACAAATACTAGAATTTTGTAAAAGATGTATTGGATTGTGTCGATCTTGAAAAAGAGAAGGGGCGAGAGAGAAAGAGAAATCGAGAAGACAGGAGGAAGAGAGCATCGCAAAAGAATAAAAAGTAAAAGAATAATCGAGAAAGAAAAAATAAAAATGCACTGCTCGCAATGGAGAAAAAAATATATATATATATTGGAAAATTAAATATTAAATAAGAGAACATAGGACGAATCAAGAGACACGGTAGTGTCTTGCGACCAGTTAAGGGCGTAGCGGAGACACCGTGTATCTTAACGCGAGTCGGACATTTGAGTCTTTATAATATTTCGAATCCTCAATAATGGCTGAAGCAATCGAGTTTATACTAGACTTAATCGATAGATTGAGTTTGAATTATATAATAAAAGTGTCTTTATTTCTGCTCTACGTGATTTGTAAGCAGAGATATATAAATGCAAAGTCGAAATATGAAAAATTTCTATTAAGAAACGTCCCCGTCATCATTATAATCTCTAAAAACTCACCTTTAAAAAAAGGTAAAAAAAGGCGACCAGTTAAGGGCACGCCATTAACAAAAATTATCCATTGCAAACCCATGTAGAATCCTATCCTATTGCAAACCCATGTAGAATCCTATGAAAAATTAATCATTGCAAACCCATGTAGAATCCTAGGCAAAATTAACCATTGCAAACCCATGTAGAATCGTACCCATTGCAAACCTATGTAGAATCCTATGAAAAATTAACCATTGCAAACTCATGTAGAATCTTATGAAAAATTAACCATTGCAAACCTATGTAGAATTGTATTAAAAATTATCCATTGCAAACTTATGTAGAATCCTACATTGCAAACCCATGTACAATAGAATTGTATGAAAAATTATCGATTATAAACCCATGTACAATCGTAACAAAAGTAATGAAATAAAAAAAAATTGCGCCAAGTGAAAGTAGAAACTTGTACCAGTGGAAAATTAAAGTTGCAGACATATATAGAGTCGTATAATGAATCAGTAAAAATTTAAATTTGCAAATGTAGAATCGTACCATAAAAAAACTTATCTTTTAAAAAAAAAGATAAACAAGATGCCAAGTCCATGCGCCATGTGAAAAAGAAATAAAAAAATTTAGTTAAAAAAACTGGGAGCGCTGCTAAATAATATTCTAACAATATTAAAATTAAATTGTTACTTTTAAGCTCATTACAGTTAAAATATGTTTGTGTTAAATTAATTAATGTTACTTTAAGGTGCATTGTAATTTTGAAACTTAGCAGCGCGCCCAGTTTTTTTAACTAAAATTTTTTTATTTCTTTTTCACATGGCGCATGGACTTGGCATCTTGTTTATCTTTTTTTTTAAAAGATAAGTTTTTTTATGGTACGATTCTACATTTGCAAATTTAAATTTTTACTGATTCATTATACAACTCTATATATGTCTGCAACTTTAATTTTCCACTGGTACAAGTTTCTACTTTCACTTGGCGCATTTTTTTTTTATTTCATTACTTTTGTTACGATTGTACATGGGTTTATAATCGATAATTTTTCATACAATTCTATTGTATATGGGTTTGCAATGTAGGATTCTACATAAGTTTGCAATGGATAATTTTTAATACAATTCTACATGGGTTTGCAATGGTTAATTTTTCATAGGATTCTACATAAGTTTGCAATGGTTAATTTTTCATAGGATTCTACATAGGTTTGCAATGGGTACGATTCTACATGGGTTTGCAATGGTTAATTTTGCCTAGGATTCTACATGGGTTTGCAATGATTAATTTTTCATAGGATTCTACATGGGTTTGCAATAGGATAGGATTCTACATGGGTTTGCAATGGATAATTTTTGTTAATGGCGTGCCCTTAACTGGTCACCTTTTTTTACCTTTTTTAAATTCAAGTAACGTGCAATTGCTAGCCAATTTTGAGAATCATAGTTGACGCGATAATAACCTGTTATTCAACAAATAAATTTTATCGATTATTTTTTATTGTATGTCATAAAAAATGTATAATTATGTATATATTATAGTAAAAGATACACAATTTTTATCAGTTATAACATTTCACGCCGGTAATCAAAATTAAAAAATAAGACTTTGAAACATTAAGTGGCCTACAGAATTATATAAACTGAAATTATATTTAGTTGGAAAATAAGTTTTATGTGCGCGTTTTTTATCTTAAATTTAAAAGACACATGAATAAAAATATGTAATAAATATAGATATTTTTGTAGAAATAAAATCGAAATGACACCATTATATGTCAAAATGATGTAATTTTGATGTTTAATGTTTGTTACTTTGGATATTATATGATTCACCTTCTTGTTGTCTGTTGACAATAATCCATTTATCTTTCTTAGTAAAGGGTATTTTCAATTCCGGATTTAACTCCGTTAAATATAAATAATTAGAAGAGTCTTATTGTAAGCTAAAATCGGCGTCCGCATCCTTAGTAAAGCTGACAGGTATAAAATAAGATGTTCCATCAGATTCGACGTCAAATTCTTTTGATATTTTTATATGACTGGTTTGATAATCTAGTGTCACATTTAATACAGGATAGTTTAGGTTTTGTACCCAAATATCCATTATCTTTTTTATGTTTATATCAAATGGTTCCAAATAATATTCATGGATGCCAGCCTGCATAAGGTTCCAGAGATTGTCAGTAGTTTTCAAAGTAAAGAAAGTAGTATGTCTGTAAAATTAAACATTTTGATCAAGAATCACTATAGTATGTGTATGTATGTATATATATATATATATATATATATATATATATATATATGTAACATATATATGTGTGCATTGATATAAAAATCAATTAGTGTAAAAAAAAAACACATAGATCTTTCCAACAAAAAGTACATAAATTGCAACTAGTAGCTGCATAGTTTTTCAGTATATTCAGTATATTTTCAAGTATATAAATTGCAACTAACACAGTTATAGCTATTAAAATAAATATATAATTATTACTAAATAATATAATTTTAAATATTACTAAATAATAGTAATAACTTTAATTTAATACGGCTAAAATTTCTACATAGCTATAAATCTAAACTATGCTAAATTTAATTAATATAATAAAAAATATATGGTTCTTTTATTATAATACGTTGCATATAGTTATTATTATCCTTAAATAATGACATAACGGAGTGCATTAATATACTTCACACGTATTATATATGCAACTAAATAATAAATTTGTAGCATTTAATTAGTTTTTTTAATGTAAAAAGAATTTAATGTTGAACAAAAATAATGTTTTATAATATACTGGATATCATCAATGTGATTGTTCTTATTCAAAATAAAGCGTTATATATTTTTGTCTTCAAAAATATTATTTCTAAAAAAAAATGTTTCAAATAAAAGTTGTATGGTTTCAAAGGAACCATATAAGCTGGTGACAATGGTTCGACCTTGGATAGTTGTTTGAAGATCACATGAAAATAACTTTCAATTTCTAAAACTAGTTTCTGGAACTTCCAATTTTTTATTGCATATGTTGTATATTTAATCGGTAATCATTTCGTTATGGTAAGATTTCCAAAAATGACGAATATTCTATTAAATATTTTACAATTTATGTCAAAAAATTGGTAACTTCAAACCTTATAACTCAAAAAGTACTTAATGAAAAAATTATTTATTATAGTGTTTTGAAGTGTTTTCGAGATAAGCTACAAAATATACACTGAAAATAGGGGTTTCCAGTTTCCATTTAAGAAATCTAAGATGATCTTTATGTGATCTTGAAACGACTATCCAAGATCGAATCATTGTCCCTCTTGAAGCCAACTTTAATTTAAAACATTTTTTTAGAAACAATATTTTTGGAGATTAAGATTTCTAATGCTTTATTTTGAACATCCGGTATAAGTACTTTTTACTTAAAATTGATTCTCTATATAAAATAGTTATTTACAAAATCACCCTCATTTTATTATATTGCATAAAATAATGCAAATAAATATTATGCTAATTATAGTTTAATTTTTAATTTAATGATTTTTATCCTTTTATTATGTTTTAATATTAAATTTGATATATTTAAGAAAGTACACACACACACAATATATATGATTGCATAGATTATTTCAGTATTTATATATATGTCGCTGCCAATGGTTATTTACAGCAAATAGCTTTTGACTAGTCAAATGCTATCTGCCATATGTCAAATGGTTTTCTTATGGACCTCTTTTCAAATGCTTTCTTCTCAGCTTTCCTAGTCAAATGTTATTTTCCTAATAAAATATTATTTGACTGAACCTCTGTTAGGCAAATGGTATTTAGCATATACTTTTTGACGCGAAGCGAGGTTCTATATAGGTTTCCAACATTCCATGGGATTGTAACATTGTATATATTACCATTGCAAACCCATGTAGAATCCTACCTATGAAAAATTAATCATTGCAAACCCATGTAGAATCCTAGGCAAAATTAACCGTTGCAAACCCATGTAGAATCGTACCCATTGCAAACCTATGTGGAATCCTATGAAAAATTAACCATTGCAAACCCATGTAGAATCCTATGAAAAATTAACCATTGCAAACCCAGAGTAAAATTGTATTAAAAATTATCCATTGCAAACTTATGTAGAATCCTACATTGCAAATCCATGTACAAAAGAATTGTATGAAAAATTATCGATTATAAACCCATGTACAATCGTAACAAAAGTAATGAAATAAAAAAAATTGCGCCAAGTGAAAGTAGAAACCTGTACCAGTGGAAAATTAAAGTTGCAGACATATATAGAGTCGTATAATGAATCAGTAAAAATTTAAATTTGCAAATGTAGAATTGTACCATAAAAAAACTTATCTTTTAAAAAAAAAAGATAAACAAGATGCCAAGTCCATGCGCCATGTGAAAAAGTGTTAAACAAAAAAGTATTTTTAAATAAAAAAATCTATCAATTGACAAAAATTTATATTCTAAAATTAATATCTCTACGAAAAGTAATGTCCAAAAATTGCGCGAATAAATAAACATTTTTATAAAAATTAAAATTTAAAAACTTACGCAAATTTAAAATTAATATAAAATAAAAAGAAATAAAAAAATTTTAGTTAAAAAAACTGGGCGCGCTGCTAAATATATTTTAATAATATTAAAATTAAATTGTTACTTTAAACTCATTGCAGTTAAAATATGTTTTGTGTTTATATTAATTAATGTTACTTTAAGGTGCATTGTAATTTTGAAACTTATCAGCGCGCCCAGTTTTTTTAACTAAAATTTTTTTATTTCTTTTTATTTTATATTAATTTTAAATTTGCATAAGTTTTTAAATTTTAATTTTTTATAAAATGTTTATTTATTCGCGCAATTTTTGGACATTACTTTTGTAGAGATATTAATTTTAGAATATAAATTTTTGTCAATTGATAGATTTTTTTATTAAAAATATTTTTTGTTTAACACTTTTTCACATGCGCATGGACTTGGCATCTTGTTTATCTTTTTTTTTTAAAAGATAAGTTTTTTTATGGTACGATTCTACATTTGCAAATTTAAATTTTTACTGATTCATTATACGACTCTATATATGTCTGCAACTTTAATTTTCCACTGGTACAAGTTTCTACTTTCACTTGGCGCAATTTTTTTTATTTCATTACTTTTGTTACGATTGTACATGGGTTTATAATCGATAATTTTTCATACAATTCTTTTGTACATGGATTTGCAATGTAGGATTCTACATAAGTTTGCAATGGATAATTTTTAATACAATTTTACTCTGGGTTTGCAATGGTTAATTTTTCATAGGATTCTACATGGGTTTGCAATGGTTAATTTTTCATAGGATTCCACATAGGTTTGCAATGGGTACGATTCTACATGGGTTTGCAACGGTTAATTTGCCTAGGATTCTACATGGGTTTGCAATGATTAATTTTTCATAGGTAGGATTCTACATGGGTTTGCAATGGATAATTTTTGTTAATGGCGTGCCCTTAACTGGTCGCCTTTTTTTACCTTTTTTTTCTTTACATCAATTGATTATCTAATCGATTGATATAAAAATATGTGTGGTTATATATATATATATATATATTTATTTCAAAAAATTTTAATTTTTTAGTTAAAATATCGAGATAACAATATTTATATTACATTTCTTTAAAATTTTTTATTGCATGTAATAGCATTTATTCAAAAATTATTATTTAATTTAATTTTTTATAAAATCTTTTTCTTTAATTATCGAAAACGACTCAAAATTGGACCGTTGAACACTGTAATATACGTATACGTACATACCTATAATATGAAAAAAAGGAGCAAGTGTCTTAATTTCAATATCGTTAGCATGTTTTGCAAAATAGATATTAAAATTTGCATTTATTTGACGAGATTTATGTTGAAGTTCGACTATGTTCAAGTCCACCATTCCGGTACCTGAAAAGACCTATAGACAGATTGATGCAATCAGGTAAATATATAATAATAATCGAAAAATAGTTTTAAATTAGCAATATGCATTAACATACAAACAATTATTTGCTGCATCTAAAAACAGCTTTGCTTTTATATATAATATAATTTTATCATATATGTATTATAAAATTGTAAAAATTATAATATTTTTAATTTGTAAAATTATAATTTTTAATTTGTTTTTTAAATAATACGTAACTATTTGACATAAAAAATTTTTGTTAAATATATTATAGATATACTTGCAAAGTTTATTTTTCTTGATATAATAACATAATCTAAATACACTCAATGCTATATGTTCTATAATATTTTTTACGAAATAATTAAGATATTGTAAGAAATTAAGAAAATATCATAACACATATTTGCATTTCTTCTATTGTTAGCGAATGAAAAGACAATTTCAGAATTTTCTTACGTTTGCCAAAAGAATTAATAAAAAAAATATATATATAAGCACAGTCTATCGGTATGTCTGTCTGTATATCTGTGTCTGTATGACCGCGAACTACTTATCCATGCTAAATTTTGCGAACTACTTCCACATTTATAGACCAATTTTCACCAAATTGGTACCAAAATGTTGCAAATTTTTGAAGGTGGCTGCTGTGTGTTAAGTTTTACACCTCCATCCACGGTGCGTGGATGGAGGTGTAAAACTAAAAAAAACCACCTACGCAATCGCATATATATAAACCGATTTTCACGAAATTGGTACCAAAAATTTTGTAAATTTTTCGGAGATGACTACTAGGTAGCTTTTTTTTAGTTTTACACTCCCACTCATGCACCCACCCACGCATACACGTCTTAATGGACCGATTTTTTCGAAATCGAAACAAAAATTTAGCAAATTTTTTGGGGGATAGCTACTATATAATGTTTTTTAAGTTTTGCCAACCCACTAATCCACCCACGCATTCAAGTATTTATTGACTGATTTTTTCGCAA